TCATGCTCATACTTATCTCACATGAAAGATAAGAAGATTTCCTATTGTAGTTACTATCTAGACGGGTACAAGTAGCATCAATAAGTCGTTTTCATTCTGTAGATGATTTAAGACGTACGTCACATTAAAGTTCACGAGTAATTTTTGTGGAATGGTGATTAAAGGACATGTTAGAAAGTGGGTATATGAGTATATAAAGAAAATTAAAAAAATTTATTTATAGTCATTTTTCACTTATAATAAATTTTTTATAAAAAATGATTTATAATCAAAAGAAAGTATAAAATTGCTTTATCGCGTAATTAACTTGTCTTCTGTTTATAGTTAATTTTGCATTCGAATGTTGATATAATTTTCATGTCTAACATGAAATTGCAGTTGTGTTAAGTTGGTGTTGGTGTTGGTGGTTCTTTTTCATTTGCTCCTTGTTTGCCTTCATAATTACCTCACTTATGTGGTACGTTCACGTGTTTCCATTATTTTCATGATAATGATTAATGAGGAGCATATAAAGAAGACTTCTCTGACTTTAACTGGTCATAAAGTTTCCTAGGAAAGTTCATGCTGATAGAAGAGACATGCAAAATCAAATGGTATAAAACTTTTTGACTTACGTTTACTTTATAATTTAATGTATTCAGATGTTCTGAATGGCTTAGAATTAGAGTTCGGTGCCGTAGAAAATTCAAAGCACTGAATAACTGATGATAGATAGATCTGACCAGTGACCACGATCCCTCAAATTTATCATCTCCCTGCCTTCAATCTTATCTATACTATTACAATCCAGAAAATACTATTGCTAAATTATGAGTATATATGGATCGCTTCGATCAAATTCTTCTAAATCTATTAACCGTTTAGATTAAATTAAACCTCTCTGGATGAATATTTATTTATTAAAATAATAGAATATTTGTATGCTAGGGTTACCATTTTTTTTTTATAAAAACAATGAATATATTTTATTAGCTTTGATTCGAATAATAAACGACCTAAACTAATTAAATTAGTTTAAATTAAGTTTTATATTTATTAAGTTGATTTGAATCATGAAAACTGATAAACTAATAAATATAAAATTATATTTATATGATCATATTTTTAGATCAATTATTCCTTTAATATTTTTTAACTAGTTTTGAATTTGTATTTTATTTAAAGTTTAATAATTTATTTTAAAATTAATATTTATTAAAACAAAATAAATAATAGTATATTAATTTAAATGATAAATAGTTTTTTTTAGGTATTTTTTAGTACTTGTAAAGTAAATCAGTTTTGTTTTTTATTATTGAAAAAAAATTATTTATATTCATCCTTCTAAAATTTGTAAATATTATTTTTAGGCCTTATAAAATATTGTTTTTGTCCTTGTAAAATGAATAAAAAAAATTTAAGTCTTTGTAAGATATTTTTTGGTTTTTCATTCTTTTAGAATCTAAAATCATTATTTTTGGTCTTTAACAACTATTTTAAAGTATATAAATAATATTTACTTTAAAAATTTATAAAAAAATTCTTGTTGGAGGAAAAGAAAGAACACTTATACATGCATGTGTACACACAATACTGAATGGGTTTTCTATTATTGAAAAAATGAAATATTACAACATATCTATTTATAGAGTAATTAGATATACAAACAACTTTTACTTGAATTGACTACAACACTTCCCCCAAATTCAAGTATTCAAAGATATCATACCCAACTCCACTCTCAACCTCTCAAATTTGTCTCTCTTCAGAGATTTAGTTAATACATCAACAACTTGTAATTCAATAAGGCAATATACTAGTTTCAGCCTTCCATTGTTAACCTACTCCCTTATAAAATGAAATCTAGTTTCTATATGCTTACTTCTTCCATGTGATACATGATTGTTTATCAATTAGCAGCCGTATAGGTCTTTCAACATCTACTGTCATTTCCTTTAAAACTGAATCAAGCCAAATAGTTTGACAAGATGCATAACAACCAACAATATACTCAACCTCAAGATGATAATGCCACAATTGTTTGCTTTTCTTAAAACACCAAGAGATTGGTGCACCTAAGAATTTGAATAGGTACCCACTGATGCTCCTTCTATCACTCCTGTCTCCACACTAATCTGAATCTAAGTAACCTAACAAGTTAACTTGTAGTTGGTTTTTATTTGGAAATAACGCTCCAAAATTTAGTGTTCCTTTTATGTACCTCAATACTCTTTTGGCAACAAGTAAGTGCACCTTCTTTGAATTATTCATAAATCTACTAATCAGTCCAATTGAAAAGCAAATATTAGGTCTATTATTGTAGAGATACCTCAATGATCCAACCATTTGTTTGTACAAAGTATTGTCTACATCCTCTTTTTCATTTAATTCTTCAACTTTTATATTTATCTCTGCTGGAGTTATGTAACGACTCGCCAGGTCTCACACTGTCTATAGCGTTAAGATACATGCATAAAATAAAATATCACCACTAAACAATTATATATACAATGAGAATACACAACTAAAAAGTCCCATAATATATATAATTGAAAGTAGGGCATAATATCCTAAACAACAACTAGGTAGTCGAATGCTACCAATCAACTAAATAAAATGTCAGTTCTCCTCTTGAGTCTCAATCAAAAGAAAGGCCACCTAGTCCAAAAGAACACCTAACCTGATATGCTCGCATACCATGGTATGGACATCGTAGTCCCAACCACAAAGGAAAAAACATGCTAGGGTAAGCTCACAATAATAATCATAAAAAAAATAGTTTCAACATATAATAAACAACAATAGAATTCAACTTTCAACTTGAAGCAACACAATACATACAACAATAGATATAAAACATCATCTAATAGCAAAAACATTTTCAACACATCGTACTTTACTCAAATTGACCACTTGTAATTGGTATAGTTCAGCCCGACTCTTATACCGTGGTTGCTTCATACACGTGTGCCTCGACCTTGCCCACACACGAGACCAACTAAGTCCTAGAGGAGAATAACATATCATCCACTCCAAGGGACAACTTCCCAAGGAGGGTTTTTCAATAAATTGGGCTCTTAGAGCACCACAACTATCTCAATTCGTACGATGGGATGAGCAACTTTGAAAACTTCTCCTCTAGTCCCAGTGATCAACAACTCATCATCACAGCACAACCACACAACCTTTATCACAATAGTTCAACTATCATCTCATTCATACAACATTATATACAACTTGAATGCAATAACACATGCAACATCAACTAATGCGTCATCACGCATATACAACTAGGAGATCACCTACGACTGAGATTGAGCAGTCTAGGTGGCATAAACCTTACCAAATCCAACGTTTGACCTATCTCAACTAGGTCTGGTATAGGGTATCGTTAGAAACTCTGAAAACCAGGTCAGGTATAGGGCATCGTTAGGAACTCCAAAAAGAATTTGGTATAGACAATAATAGGTGATTGCTCAGGTGTGCCACTTAGACTCGGAGGTCTAGTACTACTGTCAAGGCATAAGGGTTTGGGTATGGGCCTACCACAGCCTTGGCTTGCATCACCAATCCACATATGGAGTTAACCCACTCACTACCCTCCAAGTATCACACACCCTCCGATACCTAGTTAAAAACTACATCTCTAACTAGGTACCTTACTCCAATTGGTCATTCAACCATGACATGGATCGACTACTTCCATGTTACCCACATAGTACTAAGGGATTCAACTTTAAAACAACTTTTAACTTATCACCTTAGTACTATGTATCTCAACATAGGATATATATCTTCACCATGTGTCCCTAACTTTACAACTTTACAATAATAGACATCTTTATACAACTTTACAACAATAAGCATCATAATATCAACTTGAATAAATAACTTGAGCAACTATAGTCATCACAATGTCAACTTTACGACTTCACAACTATAGACATCCTTCATTCAGCTTTACAACAACAGTCATCTTGATAACTTTAATTCAACTCAATGTAACTTAACAATTTTACAACAATAAACTACTTAAACTTATACATCTCGACTTATTAATAATTCAACAATAAACAACATGTAAACAACTTAGTTTCATCAAATACACAACATATAAACAACTTAAGCTAACAACTACTCAACTCATCTTCATCAGGCAACTTAGCAACTTTACAACGTTATAAACAACCTCAACGGCATACAACATATTCAACACAAAATAAAAATCAACCAACATGTTTAAAATTTATCTATCATACCAACTTACACAAATAAACAACATAAATCAACCTAAGCACCCAAAACAACTTTCAACTTAACCAAATCATTTATTGTGAAATGGCATCCTTCACATAAAATAGCATATATGAAGTTATATTACTCCTATCATGCTCATACTTATCTCACATGAAAGATAAGAAGATTTCCTAAAACTCTTATGAAGACATCAACTAATTATTTTATAATAAATTTATTTAAAAATATTAATATTAAACATATAGTTCGGAATATATAACAACGCTCATATGAAAGATTCGTTTTCTCTGAGATGGACTAATGCTCTTTGCGGTCTTACCACGTGCGTACGGCTTCTGACTCCAATATACTAAACAAAAATGTTAGGCTTGATGACATGAGAGACCCCCACCCTAAGACTACACATTTCTCTCATCCAAGGAGGACTTCTATGCCAACTTTAATCAAAGATGGTGCATTCGAGGTACTTGTATATTATTGTAGATCGTAGATATCCTCCTTTTCACATGGGAAATTTCTGTACTGTATGTTTCCATTAACTATGGTTGCCACTTGCCATGTTAAACTCATCTTCATAAGCTCATCGTTTTTTTTACTTAAACTCAAGTTCCAACTTCGTGTATAAAAAAAGTAATTAGAAATAAATGCTTCAATAAAAAAAATTCAGAAACATTTTTTTGATAAAAATATACATTAATTATATTCTCATAAATAATTTAATATATATAGTTTTTAAAAAAAAGGCACACCCATGACCACAAAACTAAACCAACTCATGCTGCTGCTTCCTAGCTATATTACGTGACTTTACACATGTTAACATCTATATTATATAGACCATATAGTACAATCCAACTTTTTTTTATTTATTACTATGTGAAATTAGAGATTCAGCGATAAGATACGTTTTACCAACCCATTCAATGCATCATAGGAAGAACCAGCTTTGACAGCCAACCTAATCTCATTCTTCAACTTGAATGCTCTCTGTGCCATCTCCTTCCCTTCTTCATTCACCATAAGTCTTCTCACTGTCCCTTCTATTTCATTCCTTTCTATGACATTGGACCACTCTAGCCCCACTTTCCACACATGGCTCAACAATCTAGCATTCACCCTCTGATCCCCAAAATAAGGTTGGCACATAATTGGAACTCCTTCACACAAACTCTCCAAAGTGGAATTCCAACCACAATGGCTCCAAAACCCTCCCACACCTTGGTGTGCCAAAACCTCTCTCTGGGGTGCCCATTTCACAATGCAACCCCTTTCTTCTATTGCCATTTTAACCTCTTTAGGCAATGATTCTAGCCACTCCGAAACATCATTAATTGTCCCAGGCCTAATGACCCAAAGAAATTTTTGTTTGCTATTGGCTAACCCCCATGCCACTTCAGTTAACTCTTTCTCATCCCAACTAGCTATGCTTCCCAAACTCACATACAACACAGATTTTGTTGCTTGGTTGTTGAGCCAACCTATGCAGCTATAATCTTCTTCCACGCAGCTACTACTTGTGGAATCTTCTTCAGCCATCATGTGTAAAGGGCCTATGGGGAAGACACTGATTTCATACAAATCGTGTAGCCGACACAAGGATTTGTCTTCGAGGCAATTCACTGTGTTGCAGATAACACCCAAAGAAGGTCTAATCGCGAGCGTTTTGGTTATTTGCTGCTGCATAACATGTGAATTGAACATTGGTAGGTCTTTGAACCGGAGCGGTTGGTAGGTCTTTGAACCCAAGCGGTTCAAGTTCTGGCACCATGTCCAACGACATACAATCTGCATGCAACGGGTTAGTGCTAGTTTGGTTACTTACCACTGAAATCATGGTCGTGACCAAGGTGAAAAAGCTGCTAAAAATCTATGGTTGGTTCTTTAAATTTTGTATCATTTGAAGAAAAGTGGTAAAGTTCTATATTTTGGTCATATAAGCATAACATTTTTAAGCGGTACTGATAAAAACTCATTGTCAGCACGATTCTTAAAATAAATATTTAAAAGTAACAAACTCATCTTACATAATAATTTATAAATGAATGACAATGTAAACATGATTTATTCTCCCCATCCATAGTTTTTTTTTCTCTAATTTAAAGCATGGCATTTACTAAAATTTAAAAAGCTTATTATGTTATAAATAAAAAAATCAATTATTTTTACAGCATTATTTCCAACCGCAAATCAATTAATTGTTTTAACATCATTCTTTTCATCAATTATTATAAATACATGTCTAGCTAGATTTTAGTAAAGTTTTCAATATTTTGTGTCATTATTAATTAGCTAGCCGTAGAAAATATAAAGCATTATTCAATCAACATTTGGCAAAGTAAAGTAACATGACTATAATTTATAATAATAATAATAATACCTTGCAAGGGAAGGCAACCTCTGCTTTGCCGTTGAAGAAACGCATGATAAGTGAGAAAATTAGTAGCACTGGTGGTTCTGAGGACTATGCTGGGTAGTTTTAGTTCTCTGGCCACAGAATCGATGGAGTACATTAATCCATCGTAGATGACGCAAGCAATCTTTTCATGACTCGTATTTGCTTTCTCAATCTGATCAACTAATAACTCTTTAAGTGGAGATACACACTTGGTATTTAAGGTAACAGTAATGTCTACAAAGTTCTTGGATGAGATTTGGGTTTCGGATAAACCATAGAACAAGGGTAGGAAACTAAAGTTAGGGTGATTAGAAGGATTAGGGGAATTGAAATTGTCATGTGATGCTATGGTGATGGAGAACCCTTTGGAATGAAGAATGGTGGCTAGGTGAAGCATTGGAGTTAAGTGACCCTGAAATGGTGGTAGTATTAGAACCAAACGGTGCCTAATTTGAGTATCCATGATCAATACCCTAAGTTTTGTTCTACTACTATGTCTGTGTGAAAAATTACATGGATACAGGCTCCTTATAAACGAATTTCTTCACTGCCATGTGCATGTATCTTTTACCTAATAAGCATTTTCTTATCCTATGTCTCTATTGACTTGTAATGAACAACTTTCCACTTATATTAATTAATTGAGATCAACGATACTTTGCCACTATACTATTTATTAATCACGAATTCTAAACTGTGGTTTTCGCACGCAACATCTAATTACCCTTGGTTTCAACGAGTCGATGCTATCATGGCGTGTCACACTGAAAACTCATGTCATTAAATTTATTTGACTGTGCGAATTCCATTTGTAGTTACTATCTAGACGGGTACAAGTAGCATCAATAAGTCGTTTTCATTCTGTAGATGATTTAAGACGTACGTCACATTAAAGTTCACGAGTAATTTTTGTGGAATGGTGATTAAAGGACATGTTAGAAAGTGGGTATATGAGTATATAAAGAAAATTAAAAAAATTTATTTATAGTCATTTTTCACTTATAATAAATTTTTTATAAAAAATGATTTATAATCAAAAGAAAGTATAAAATTGCTTTATCGCGTAATTAACTTGTCTTCTGTTTATAGTTAATTTTGCATTCGAATGTTGATATAATTTTCATGTCTAACATGAAATTGCAGTTGTGTTAAGTTGGTGTTGGTGTTGGTGGTTCTTTTTCATTTGCTCCTTGTTTGCCTTCATAATTACCTCACTTATGTGGTACGTTCACGTGTTTCCATTATTTTCATGATAATGATTAATGAGGAGCATATAAAGAAGACTTCTCTGACTTTAACTGGTCATAAAGTTTCCTAGGAAAGTTCATGCTGATAGAAGAGACATGCAAAATCAAATGGTATAAAACTTTTTGACTTACGTTTACTTTATAATTTAATGTATTCAGATGTTCTGAATGGCTTAGAATTAGAGTTCGGTGCCGTAGAAAATTCAAAGCACTGAATAACTGATGATAGATAGATCTGACCAGTGACCACGATCCCTCAAATTTATCATCTCCCTGCCTTCAATCTTATCTATACTATTACAATCCAGAAAATACTATTGCTAAATTATGAGTATATATGGATCGCTTCGATCAAATTCTTCTAAATCTATTAACCGTTTAGATTAAATTAAACCTCTCTGGATGAATATTTATTTATTAAAATAATAGAATATTTGTATGCTAGGGTTACCATTTTTTTTTTATAAAAACAATGAATATATTTTATTAGCTTTGATTCGAATAATAAACGACCTAAACTAATTAAATTAGTTTAAATTAAGTTTTATATTTATTAAGTTGATTTGAATCATGAAAACTGATAAACTAATAAATATAAAATTATATTTATATGATCATATTTTTAGATCAATTATTCCTTTAATATTTTTTAACTAGTTTTGAATTTGTATTTTATTTAAAGTTTAATAATTTATTTTAAAATTAATATTTATTAAAACAAAATAAATAATAGTATATTAATTTAAATGATAAATAGTTTTTTTTAGGTATTTTTTAGTACTTGTAAAGTAAATCAGTTTTGTTTTTTATTATTGAAAAAAAATTATTTATATTCATCCTTCTAAAATTTGTAAATATTATTTTTAGGCCTTATAAAATATTGTTTTTGTCCTTGTAAAATGAATAAAAAAAATTTAAGTCTTTGTAAGATATTTTTTGGTTTTTCATTCTTTTAGAATCTAAAATCATTATTTTTGGTCTTTAACAACTATTTTAAAGTATATAAATAATATTTACTTTAAAAATTTATAAAAAAATTCTTGTTGGAGGAAAAGAAAGAACACTTATACATGCATGTGTACACACAATACTGAATGGGTTTTCTATTATTGAAAAAATGAAATATTACAACATATCTATTTATAGAGTAATTAGATATACAAACAACTTTTACTTGAATTGACTACAACACTTCCCCCAAATTCAAGTATTCAAAGATATCATACCCAACTCCACTCTCAACCTCTCAAATTTGTCTCTCTTCAGAGATTTAGTTAATACATCAACAACTTGTAATTCAATAAGGCAATATACTAGTTTCAGCCTTCCATTGTTAACCTACTCCCTTATAAAATGAAATCTAGTTTCTATATGCTTACTTCTTCCATGTGATACATGATTGTTTATCAATTAGCAGCCGTATAGGTCTTTCAACATCTACTGTCATTTCCTTTAAAACTGAATCAAGCCAAATAGTTTGACAAGATGCATAACAACCAACAATATACTCAACCTCAAGATGATAATGCCACAATTGTTTGCTTTTCTTAAAACACCAAGAGATTGGTGCACCTAAGAATTTGAATAGGTACCCACTGATGCTCCTTCTATCACTCCTGTCTCCACACTAATCTGAATCTAAGTAACCTAACAAGTTAACTTGTAGTTGGTTTTTATTTGGAAATAACGCTCCAAAATTTAGTGTTCCTTTTATGTACCTCAATACTCTTTTGGCAACAAGTAAGTGCACCTTCTTTGAATTATTCATAAATCTACTAATCAGTCCAATTGAAAAGCAAATATTAGGTCTATTATTGTAGAGATACCTCAATGATCCAACCATTTGTTTGTACAAAGTATTGTCTACATCCTCTTTTTCATTTAATTCTTCAACTTTTATATTTATCTCTGCTGGAGTTATGTAACGACTCGCCAGGTCTCACACTGTCTATAGCGTTAAGATACATGCATAAAATAAAATATCACCACTAAACAATTATATATACAATGAGAATACACAACTAAAAAGTCCCATAATATATATAATTGAAAGTAGGGCATAATATCCTAAACAACAACTAGGTAGTCGAATGCTACCAATCAACTAAATAAAATGTCAGTTCTCCTCTTGAGTCTCAATCAAAAGAAAGGCCACCTAGTCCAAAAGAACACCTAACCTGATATGCTCGCATACCATGGTATGGACATCGTAGTCCCAACCACAAAGGAAAAAACATGCTAGGGTAAGCTCACAATAATAATCATAAAAAAAATAGTTTCAACATATAATAAACAACAATAGAATTCAACTTTCAACTTGAAGCAACACAATACATACAACAATAGATATAAAACATCATCTAATAGCAAAAACATTTTCAACACATCGTACTTTACTCAAATTGACCACTTGTAATTGGTATAGTTCAGCCCGACTCTTATACCGTGGTTGCTTCATACACGTGTGCCTCGACCTTGCCCACACACGAGACCAACTAAGTCCTAGAGGAGAATAACATATCATCCACTCCAAGGGACAACTTCCCAAGGAGGGTTTTTCAATAAATTGGGCTCTTAGAGCACCACAACTATCTCAATTCGTACGATGGGATGAGCAACTTTGAAAACTTCTCCTCTAGTCCCAGTGATCAACAACTCATCATCACAGCACAACCACACAACCTTTATCACAATAGTTCAACTATCATCTCATTCATACAACATTATATACAACTTGAATGCAATAACACATGCAACATCAACTAATGCGTCATCACGCATATACAACTAGGAGATCACCTACGACTGAGATTGAGCAGTCTAGGTGGCATAAACCTTACCAAATCCAACGTTTGACCTATCTCAACTAGGTCTGGTATAGGGTATCGTTAGAAACTCTGAAAACCAGGTCAGGTATAGGGCATCGTTAGGAACTCCAAAAAGAATTTGGTATAGACAATAATAGGTGATTGCTCAGGTGTGCCACTTAGACTCGGAGGTCTAGTACTACTGTCAAGGCATAAGGGTTTGGGTATGGGCCTACCACAGCCTTGGCTTGCATCACCAATCCACATATGGAGTTAACCCACTCACTACCCTCCAAGTATCACACACCCTCCGATACCTAGTTAAAAACTACATCTCTAACTAGGTACCTTACTCCAATTGGTCATTCAACCATGACATGGATCGACTACTTCCATGTTACCCACATAGTACTAAGGGATTCAACTTTAAAACAACTTTTAACTTATCACCTTAGTACTATGTATCTCAACATAGGATATATATCTTCACCATGTGTCCCTAACTTTACAACTTTACAATAATAGACATCTTTATACAACTTTACAACAATAAGCATCATAATATCAACTTGAATAAATAACTTGAGCAACTATAGTCATCACAATGTCAACTTTACGACTTCACAACTATAGACATCCTTCATTCAGCTTTACAACAACAGTCATCTTGATAACTTTAATTCAACTCAATGTAACTTAACAATTTTACAACAATAAACTACTTAAACTTATACATCTCGACTTATTAATAATTCAACAATAAACAACATGTAAACAACTTAGTTTCATCAAATACACAACATATAAACAACTTAAGCTAACAACTACTCAACTCATCTTCATCAGGCAACTTAGCAACTTTACAACGTTATAAACAACCTCAACGGCATACAACATATTCAACACAAAATAAAAATCAACCAACATGTTTAAAATTTATCTATCATACCAACTTACACAAATAAACAACATAAATCAACCTAAGCACCCAAAACAACTTTCAACTTAACCAAATCATTTATTGTGAAATGGCATCCTTCACATAAAATAGCATATATGAAGTTATATTACTCCTATCATGCTCATACTTATCTCACATGAAAGATAAGAAGATTTCCTAAAACTCTTATGAAGACATCAACTCCTAATTCCATCATCTACTTTGTCAAAACTTACAAAAACCGCAACAGCTATAACTAATGCTGACAGCTTGACCCCTGTTCACTAAAACATCCATATCTAAAGTTATAGACCTTCTTTTTGTGTGATTCCAACTCCATTGGAAAGATAAGATCAAAGGCTACAACTTTTATGAAGACTACAAAATCAAATTTTGAAAGAATAAAATGGCTCAGCGCCTCCAAATTACTTAGCGCCTTCAAAGCACTCAGCGCTTCCCAAGCGCTCAACACTTTACCTCCAAGAATTCTCCGTTGGCTCGTGGCCCCCAAAGGGCCGTTTCCCAAAGAGCTCAGTTGTTCCCAATGGCTCAGCCCTTTGCCTCCAGGGAATGCTCCCCTTGCACGCTACCC